TATTTAAATATTTTGTTAAATATTTTTCAATAGATGGAATTACGTGTAAAACGTGTAAAGGTATACATAAATTAATCGATATATAAAATTCCAATCGATAATTTGGGGTGTAATAAAAGAAATTATCGAAGACAAAAGTAACTGCCGAGTTTCGTAACAATTAATCGAACGGCCTAGGAGTGTATAGCAAACAAACAAACAAACAAATGAACACAGACAAACATTTCATTTATATATATTTATTTTTTTAATATCTTAATATTAGGTATTTTACTTATATTGTAAATCTAAATTATAATATTTATATATTTCTATAAAGATAAATAGTTGTACATAGAAATGAATGTAATAAATACGGTCTCCCCCTATAACATTGTTGATTTTTCCGTTTTATATGAATTCCATGTAGTACAAGTCACTTAGATTTTACAAATACGTGAGCCGTTCACAGCCCAGCACATGTATTTATAAAATCTAAGTGACTCGTACAACATGGAATTCATATAAAACGGAAAAATGAATAGTGTTATAGGAGGGTCGACTATACAATCCGCATACATTGTGTTTATTTATCATAATAAAGAATTGAGAGAAAAGACAAATTTGTAGAGTAATTTGTAAGGTATTTCCTTTCTGCATTTCTGAATTGAGAGGTTTTTTTTTTTAAATTAAAACACTAAATTTACTTTTTAAGGTAAAAAATTAAGCGTAAAACATATTTTAGTTAATACAATTCGGTATTAACTAATTAATATTTTAATTAACTCGGAAAAATGTATAATGAAGCAATTGGTTCAACGAGTGTTTTTATTAAGTTGGTGCATTCGGAAAAATTTGTTATTGTTTNCTTCATAAATCTTAAACTTAAGAAACAACTAAAAGTAAGTAAATACTAACATGATCACCTTTAATTTACAAACAGATATTTGGGAAGTACAGAATGGCTATAATTAGGGCTTCTCTTTCAGAGCACACTGTAACTGTAACCAATACACAGATTGACACCAACATTTGTATACTGTATACTGACTATGCACGGAATGTAGAAAAGAATTTTGCAAAAAAAAATAATAATTCAGTTTAAAAACTTCTACTAGTGGTGTGCTTTATAGGAAAATACTTGAAATGAAACACAGTAAATAATGAACATCAATCTTAAACTGACATTTTAATCTGTTATTTTAAACATTATGAATAATTTTACACCTGAATAATGGGGAACATATTGAGCAACATTCCCTATATAAGTAAACAGCCTCTGCTGAAGCAATGTATCTTGCAAAACAAATAAATATGTTTTGGTTGTTTTGTTTCGTGTACTTTCCTGTAAAGTGCATCTAGTGAAATCTTTTGCTAAATATTTTTCTGCATCCTTTGCATAGTCTGTATATAAATTTTGGTGTAAGTCTGCTTATTAATTAAGCTACAAAGTGCTCCGAACAGGAAAGTTTAATCATGGTCACCCTGTATATGCTTATATATTTTAACACTTAACAGATTAAAACAGTTGTATGCTCGTTTGTATTTCTNTTTGACAAACACAGCATTGTATTGTTCTGGTGTCGCTTGTATAGAACTGATGGCACGTGCGTGACGGCTCCGATAATCCGGGTGACGTTTGACTGCGTCGATTGCTAAAGTAATCCAGATGGCACAAGTATCCAGGAAACGGGTTCTTATATTCTAATATCCAATAGTGGGATCTACTGTTCCGATACAGCCAACTGACACTTTAAATAGTTCTTAACTACCGCCCTGACAACAGGGAAGGTAAAAAATGAATTACAAAGTAGATGCCGTAGTATCGTTAAAAGTATTTACTATTCCGTTAACAGATGGCGGTAGTTAATATTATATATCCTCTTTAATTAAAGCTAATTCCTGCGGTTTTGTCGAAAATTTCTGAAATTTTGCATAGAGGTTCGTGTATTAGAGAATTGGTTGTATTAAATTTTGGTAGTTAAAGGTCGAGGGGTGAGAAGATAAAGGAAGAGTCGTGTGTCGTATCTCGAGTAGGTTCCGAATTAATGACGATTTTACTGGTTATTAGTATTTACAACTGTTTATAAAAGTCGCCCCTACCTTGTAAATTAAGCTTTTTACCATTTATAATAATTAAAAATATAAAAAGTTTTTAACAATAAAATACCGTAACAGATGGCACCCCGCACGTAGTTTTAAACTTTATCGGGAAAGTTAAACAACTCGTTGCTGGATATTATTCTTTTGTTAGTTGGAAGTAACTCGGATATTGCGCACTGCAGGTGTTGTGTCTTGTTTTTAATCTTGGGCGATAGCGACTAGGCTATGGGGCTGCGTGGTAAGTCGTGATGGACATGATATGACGTGGTTAGTATTTGTATGTATTTTTTGTTTTATACGTGGAAAATAATGCCTTTCGGAAGGTCTTTAAAGAGTAACTGGCACCTATGCAGCCTAGGGCTATGCAGGATTGGCTGTCTACGGAAAACTCCCGTAGACAGCCTATCCTTGCGAGGCGCGAACCCACAACAGAACTCCCAGTGTTCACGGAACGGAACCGCTTGTCCATTGGTGGACCCAGGTGTTGTGTTTTATTTAATTTTGTTTGAGACCGCTCTTTTTATTAAATAATGGTGTGAAAAGTTTCAATACTGCCAATTGTGCTGAAATGTTAAAATAGGAGTAGTATAAATCAAATCTACAGTCGGAAGTCGATCCCAAAAGTGATCAGTACGTAGACCCTCTGCTTAACTAAAGTATTGACCATCAGTGAACCTTTAAGATCTAATGGATTCTAAAGGATCCGATGGATCTAATCAGGAGAACAAAGTCGCCAATGCGCTGATGGCAGAATTAGGGAGCAGGAGCGAATCATCAAGCCCACCATCCGAGGCTCGAAAGAGAAACATCGTGTAGATTAGTATGGAGTATTTTGGATGGCCAGCGTTCTAACCAGCATCACCTCAATCTTCATTCTCCGGTGCTTAGACTTATACTTGGCAGAGTTCCCGGCTATTGGTACTGAAATATACCAAAAAAGCAAGAGATAACCGAAAGTTCGAAACTTTCGACAGATTGCTCTCCACCCTTGGCTACGCGAGCAAGGATCTTTCGCATCTTAAAGGTTCACTGATGGTCAATAAATCAGTTAAGCAGAGGGTCTACGTACGAAGTACTTTTCGGAGCGAACCCGACTTCCGACCGATAATCACGTAAATTGGGGCATAATTAAGTATTAATACTTAACTAGAAACAATAATTTAAAAACTCCATTATAAATTAAGACAAATTTCATGTATTTCACTTCTAAAATATTCGGTTTTGATTCATACTAATCGTAATTTAGCATTTCAGCACAGTTGGCAGCAGTGCCGTAACTAGCCATTCCAGTGACCTGAGAAAACATTAGCATTTCGGCCCCTTAATTAATTAGGTTTAGAATAACAATAAAACAAACACATGTATTTTCGGCTCCCCTTCCAAGTGGGCCCTGTGCATGTTCACCTGTTGCATCTGCCTAGTTACGGCGAAGGTTGGCAGCATTGAAACTTTGCACACTATTATTTAATAAAAAAAATAGAGGTATCAAACCAAATGAAATACAACACAACACCTGGCTCCACCAGTAGCCAAGCGGTTCCGTTCGCGGCCGGATGGCCGAGCGGTCAAGCTGGCAGCCTAACGCTCTGGGAGACCCGGGTTCGAATCCAAACGGGGCCAAAAATCCCCAAGAATTTTTCGGGGCGGTGGTCCGTTCAGATATGTCGAACCCCGTCCCTCACCCCCCGGCAGCCCATTGTGGGCTGGCCGAACCCATAATGGGCTTGCAAAAAAAATCCTCTTAGTGCTCACAGGGCGGAAAGAATTTTAAAAAAAAGCGGTTCCGTTCCCTGAACACTAGGAGTTCGGTCGTGGATTCGCGCCACTGAAGGATGGGCTGTCTACGTGGAGTTTTCCGGTTTTTCTCTACGTCTTCGGAAGTTCTCTTAAGAGTAACTGTCTCCATAGATGCCAGTTACTCTTAAGAGAACTTCCGAAAGGCATTATTTCCCACGTATAAAACAAAAAATACATACAACTACTAACCACGTCACATATCATTTCCATCACGTCTTACCACGCAGCCCCATTGCCTAGTCGCTATCGCCCAATATTAAAAACAAGACACAACACCTGCAGTGCGCAATATCCGAGTTACTTACTTCTAACTAAGAGAAGAATAATATCCAGCAACAAGTTGCTTGACTTTCCCGATAACGTTTAAAACTGCGTGCAGGGCGCCATCTGTTACGATATTTTTAATTATTATAAATGGCAAAAAGTTTAATTTTCAAGGTAGGGGTGACTTTTATAAACAGTTGTAAATACTAATAACCAGTAAAATCGTTATTAATTCGGAACCTCGACCGTTAACCACCAAAATTTAATAGCACCAATTCTTTAATACGCAAAATTTCAGAAATTTTTGACAAAAACCGCACGAGTTATTAAGCTTTAAATAGGGTAAATAATATTATAACAGAGAAGGGAAAGTAAAAAAAAAAAAAAAGAAAAAACAATTACGAAATAGATGGCGTAGTATCGTTAAAAGTATTTACTATTCCGTTAACAGATGGCGGTAGTTAAGAACTATTTAAAGTGTCAGTTGGCTGTGTCGAGGCAGTAGAATCCACTATTGGATATTAGAATATAAGAACCCGTCTCTTGGATACTTGTGCCATCTGGATTACTTTAGCAATCGACGTAGTCAAACGTCACCCGGATTATCGGAGCATAAGGCACGTGTCATCAGTTCTATACAAACGACACCAGAACAATACAATGCTGTGTTTGTCAAACTAAGTTTCGCGGAATCTTCAGATTCCGTCCAGGGATGTACGGAATTCCGCCGGACCAAACTGTATCGAATTACTGTATACGAGATTGGACATTCAGCTTGTGTTATCGGACAGTCCAACGGTGCTTCACTCCGGATACCCTTTAAAACACAAACAATTGCTGGTATTTTATTTTATTTTTTATTNTTTTCCAAGCTGATGATAAATATTTCTAAAAATTATTCCATCTTTTATACAATAAAGTATTCTTTGTATTTGTAAAGAATAATTTACCTCAAGCATTTTTTGTTTTAACTGTTCTGCTTCATCATGAGTTGCTACAAAGTTCTCTCTTGTCTATGAAGAAAACAATTTAATTACTTAATTACATATAAGTTAAACTGTATCAATTAAGGAGAAAGGTTAAATTATTTTAAAGTTCTATTAGTTATTTTATAACCAAATAAATTATTTAAATCACTTTAACATAAAAAAAAAGTAACTCAACAGAAACATTCTTACCCTTTGTAATCTAATTTGTAAATCTGTTAAATATGATTTAAAATCTTTTGCAACTTCATGACCTACAAAAAAATATTTAAAAAAACCAATTACAATTATATATATTAATGGCTAAATTTATGAAATGTTCCGAAAAGTCATATGGTATTGAGTAATTTGTAACTTTACACAAATTTTAAGGAAATAAAAGTTATAAATTTATAAAAAATTAAACTAACCTTGATGATAAAATGTTAGCCATCCATACATGAAACTCAAAAGCTAAAGATTAGACAAAGAATTTATGTATAATTTAGAATTATTATTTATGAAAGAAATATTAAAATATTTACTGTTTCAACAAATTCAAACTTCTTTCTTTCTTGCACTTCTTGTAATAATATAATATAATCAAGAGATGCTTGAAAAAAATGTCTTTGCTCTAATTCCAAACTAGCATCTGCCTATTAAATAAAAATGATTAATTTATAAAATTATAAATTTCACACAGTAAAATACTATGTTTTCTTGATTCTAATATGCNTTTTTTCCCGAGCGAAAAAATTTTATCGCGATTTTAATTTATAAAATTATAAATTTCACACAGTAAAATACTATGTTTTCTTGATTCTAATATGCTCCTTTCTTGGACTTTTCTGGTCTCAAAAATTCATGCATACATTAGAATCAGGCACAAAGTTGATTTAATGCAATCTCATTCACATCATTTGCTTTTCACTCTTCCCCATAATTTATATAGACATGATGCATATTCCACTAATTACTTTGGTTTTAATTTTGGTTTAGGAATAGTTTGGTAGTCTTTTGAACTATAGCAAGCCAAGAGAAAGATGCTCAGTTGATGAATCATCTATAAAGCTATGCTTAAGCAGAGTATTATCTACTGTGCTGAAAAATCATGTACATAAGTATTTCAATGTGATACTACATATCTAGTAAATTTCATGCTTGTGTATATTGACTTGAAATGTTGTTGTTAAAACAATGATCATATGGTAATTTTGATGATAATTTTGTATTAGTCTGTACATCTCTGTATCTAATAACAGTCATAAATGAATACATTCAAAAATGCAGACACATGACATACTGTAAACATGAAAATAAAACAATTTTCAAAAACTGCATTAATTTTTTGCAGCTGCAATTTCAGTATAGAGTGTATATTACATTTGCAAGCTAAACTTTTTTGGGTTTCAACATCTTGTAAATCACATTCAGATGCACATTACATTTGGTAGCACATTAGAATCAAGAAAACATGATATTCCAATAATAACTTTTAAGAACTTTTGGCAAAAACAGAGCATAAATAAGAGCTATTAAAAACTATACAAATGCTCTTATAGATTTAAATTCTGATGTTAAAACATCAAATCTTAAATCAATTCAGTTTATCTGTTCAAGTATAAGATTAATTTTTTTTATAATTTAAAATTATTTGAGAGTAATTTAGACAAACTTTTTAACTTACTCCATTATGAAAATGGATACAGATCACCAGAGTTACTTAATATCTGGAGTTAGATTAATTACAATATAATGAGAAATGATAGACTACTGAAAACAACATGACCAGAAGAGAAAATCATTAAATATTTGACAATAAAATGTTAATACATAATTACTAGTGTTGTAACGAATAGTATATTCGGCCTCAGGCCGAATAGCCGAATATTCGGCCAAACTATTCTGCTCGATTATCGCACGTACGAATATTGGCGCGCAAACCGCATTATGGCAAGGACCCCACTCTCTATTGGCCCGTTGTCACTACGCTTCACCAATCGCGTTAATTCTTGACAGTTGAAGCGGACAGACAAGAGCGTCATGGCAGTATGTGATAAGTGATGATATCAAATGTGGATAACAATGAAATGTCCTACACGTGTAAATAACGGAGAAAGAACAGAGAAGGACCACGAAGTGATACACGTGTAAATAACGGAGAAAGAACAGAGAAGGACTGCGAAGTGAAAATGTGAAAATAAATATGAAATTTAGTCAATAACATAATCGAACGAGTCGAAGCAGCTTATTGCCGCGAAATTCGCGGCCGTCAATGCCAAACAATTGTTGTCATAGACTTCGGAAAGCTAAATGCTTGTAATGAAAGTCACTTAGTGTGCACGGGCGAAAGCCTGGGGCCATTAGGGCTATCAAGCTGTCTCAAATCTGTGAAATCTTAACTGTGACTTATATCGACGTCCTATCTGTCTCTTTTCTCCGTTATCACCAGGNATCGTAGGTATTTTATTTTATTTTTAATATGCTTTCTTATATATATATATATTTAAGTTGAAGTGTTAGAATTTTGTAAGCTTTTTATAAGAGTTTCGCGTATTAAAATAGATTGAAAAGTACTTATGTAACTGATAGATGTCACTCAAAGTAAAGTGTAATTGACTATAAAGTGACGCCATCATGCCATGTAGTAAGCATAATTAGCTTTAAAAATGTTTACGGTTGCCAAAGTTTTAGACTTTAAATAACGATATTTAAAGAAATTAAACTAATATACTTCAATTAGAATAATTGTAAAGAAGCTGATTGAAAGAAAGGGTGATCGGGTGATAAAACAATAGGATAATTGAAAAAGACAGATGATAAATGGAAATCGCATGATACGTTACGTGCCGGATGAATTTTCTTTACATAGGTTCTTTACTCCTGGTCTACACCGGGATACAGTTAGAATAACACTGGCGATAAAGGTGTGATGTTGATATTTAAACATTTTATACTTTATTTTTTCTATTGAACATGTTATTTTGAGCATTAAAAAAAGCAAAAAAGTTTCGGATATGAAACGTAACGGCGCATTTTAAGTATGTTACGAACGGTTATTCGTGTAACTGTAACAGGAGAGTGTATCGGACTTATTATAGAAAATGTATTGTCTGGTCGACTATACACACGCAACAATACATAACTTTTCTCTCGTCCCTTGTTCACCTTTTAATTATTTATTTTATTCGATAAATTAATTTTACTTTTATATTTAAAAAAAAAAAAAATTGTTTTCTTAATTCTTGGAACGACGGAAATTTTGAATTTTTTAGAAATTTCGATTGAAAAAGTCCATCTGAAAAAGCCAATTGTAACGNAATACATGTGACTAATATTATTTTCTTTTTTATTTTGTGCATGTTACAGGTTATAAATAAATATAAACAAACAACACTAACTCTATAACATTAACTCTAAATACCAAAATGATTAATTTACTGTGTTTTTGTTGTTTATAACTCCTGTTTTTAGGTATTCGGCCGAATAGTGATTAAATATTTGGTATTCGGCTGAATACCGAATAGTAACCGAATATTCGTTACATCACTAATAATTACTTATCATTACATGGAATGTTTTTGTAAAAAGTTCATTTAAGTTCACAATGCTGCCATATTTAAATTACTCCAAGATATATGTTAAGAATGCATCCTGAATTTTTTCCAAAGCAGTAAATAATTTAGAATTTGTTCCAGTGGCATATTGCATATCATTAATAAAAATTGTTATGTAATTCAGATACACATTCAAAAACAAACAAAGAGATAATTATTATCTGAAACAGAATTCTGAAAAATATAAGCAATGAAGACATAAAAAAAGAGGCAGTCAAGTATCAACTTTTTTAATAGAGAATTTCAATTCTGTTTGTAAGATATATTTATATTCATAAACTAGAACTGTAACGTAACTAATTGTAGAAATAAATTACTTACTTCTTGTAACTGACTTTCTGTTTTTTTAGTTGAAAGATTTAAGTGACGTTCCATTGACTGACAAAACTTTGTGGTTTCTTTATCAAATTTCTTTTTCACTTCCTAATAATAAAATATTTTATTTTATTGATAAATTTTTAACTGTTATTTATTTATTTTATGTTGACTCTTCAATAAAATAGGATTTAGCTATTTGATGAAAATTCTTATGCCAAATAAATAAAATTAGAAATTTTGTATAATTATTAATGATTATATTTTTCTATGCAGATAAAAATAATATTTAAATTATTGTAAAAAAATAAAAATTGATAATGTTATCATCATATTTGTACATATTCAAAGATTTAATACTGATAAAACAACTTTAATAATTATCTAATTTAAATAACTTACTTTTGCTCCTCCAATTTGTTCTTTACGAAAAGATTCTATAGGATCAATGAAGCACACTTGGGAATGTTCCAACTATTAAGAATAAAAACATTAAATAAATATGTATGACTTTTATAAAATTATTTTAATGCAAAAACTTTATTATTGTTGTTAAACTGTGATAAAAACTTTAATTTTTTGAATATAATCATTTTGTCAGTGCATCCTCAGTAATTAAAATTTAAATGAAGTTTTTTAAATGTTAGTCCAGCCATTAATGTAAATTTTTCTCATTTAACTAGTTCTTTTATTACTTTACAGATCAGTGAATTGCATTTTGCAGTAATTTATTTGTTCACTTAGAATAAAAACAACAAATCAGAATTGAAAAAATAGATATACAATACCTATTTTTTTCATTCTGATTTGTTTTTTTGTTCTTTGTTTCTGTCTAAAGTTTTTGTAACACTTTAATTTGTAAAACAGTTGTTTGAGAAATATTTGTTTTTAACTAAACAATTATTCATAAAAGCTGAATGAATTATTCATATGTAGATACATACTTAATGTTTATATGTGTATATTTAACTAAACTGAAAATATTAAATTTTGAAAACTGAAATTTTAAAAACTGAAATTTTTTAAATTTCTTCCAATTTCATCTGAAATGTCTTAAATTAGTTATATTCTATATAAATAAATATTTCTTTTGCTACTAAGTCCATATTAATTGTGAATGTTATGTTTAATTATTCCAATTAGACAGGATGACGACATAACAGCAGTTGCAGTATTTTAATGAATTCAATAAATATAAAAACTGCTATACTATGTTTTACAATACAATTCTAAATGTTTTCAGGTCTTATATATGGCTTTAAGAAAACACAGTCTAAAAGTAAAATATTCTAATATTTACAGATTAACCAATCAGTGTAGGAATCGTCCACCCACATACTGTCCAGAGGAAGAAAATAAAAATAAAAGTATTATATACTAATATTTCACATATCAGATAACATTCTGAAATACAAGTTATCATTAAACAGATCTGTAAACTCAAAACAAGCAGACAGACACAAGTATGTAAAATATAATGCACTTTAGCACACAACTACATAAAGAAAAATTAAGGTAACTGACAGAACAGAGATCAGGTTAAATAATTAACATAAATTGCCAAAATAACAATTATATATTTCAATTCACATATATTACATAGCAATAGTATAACAAATTTAGTGATTATTTTACCATAATGCAATGAAATTATTGCTTTGATTATACTCTAAACAATAAATTATTATATATGTGGATCAACTTCTGCTCAAAATCTGAACGTGTACATGTACTGTACAGTATGTGACAATGCATTTAATGGATAATTGTGTTGTGTGTCAAATTCCATCCAAAACAGCTGTTTTTTCAGAACAACTATAATTTATTTAATTCAAATTTATTAAGAATTAAAATTTGTAACAGATGTTGGCACATCTACCTGTAGTTTAACAGTTTGAAAATTATTAATGTAATTAACCTAATTATACACATGGACATTTTTAGAATAACATTTGGTTTTCTTCGATATTTTTTAAACTCGAAATATTACACTAATAATTAACGAAACTGACCATTCTGTCTCTTTCATCTTCTATTGCCGATAGCAATCGTCCAAATTCTTTCAATGAACCAGCTGAAATAAACAATTATCAGATATCAGTTATTCTGATATAGAATATTTCCCTTATAAATTATACAGTAAAATTTGTTAAAAATTAGATATTTAAAAACAATTTATTAATAATTTTTTCTTGATATTTTTNTAAGCATCCATTTGAAATTAATGAAAGTTTCTTAAGGATAAATGCTTAAAATTAAATGCTGTAAGACCTGTTTGTGAGAGTGAATTGGACGAAAAAGTCTTTTGTGCGGACGAATGAAAGGCCCTTTTTTAATTAAACAATGCTTAATTAACAGTTGTTTGCTGCTAAAAGTAAATTAATTATTTCGAATTACGTTTTTGATTTTATATAAAGATAAAAATTCTTCACTTTGAGACCTTCGATGAATGCTAGAAACTTTCATTTAATGCTTTTTTAGTTCTGTTGCTTTAACATTATAACCTTTATAGACTTGTATTTATTTTTGTACTTCCTCGTGGTTGTCAATAGTGTAAGGAATGAATTATACATTCTGCCTAACACTAAGTTGGGCTATTAATTATTCGGTCTGTCACTTTTTATAATTTATCAATGTAGAATTTTGGCTATTTTATCATTTATAAATGAATAATACTATTTAGTATTAAGATATGCGGTATAAGGCCGAGGCGATTAAGTCTCCCAAGACTATAGGCGGCCAACTATAGCCTTGGGGGACCGGGTTCGAATCCGAAAGTCGGAAAACACTAGGAAATATTTAGGGTGGTCTGTCCCGGATCCTCGTCATTCGGCCATCCCCATTATGAGCCTATTCGAATCTACGATGAATATGATTAAAATGGCTTTTTAGTGCAGAGTGAAAGCCATGTGTAGAACCCAAATTAATTATTTTAAAGCTATTTTTTAATCTAAGTACCTAAGGTTGCATTTATTAAGGAATTGAGATTACTGTTACGTTATTAAAAATGGAACTAAAATTAATTAATATATGTGACTTTACATCGCAATATTTACTTTATAAAGGTGTAATTTTAATACCGTTGATTTGTATAGGTGCCAAATTGTCCATTTTTAAACTGACTACAGAAAGGGTGTGACATTAGACAGAACAGGCAGTATATAATTTAATAACCGTAAATAAAAATAGCCTATATAATTTAAATTTTTAAAACATTTAAAGAACTTATTTCTATTTGTTTTCTTTTTTATTTTTCATTCAGATTATCAAACGTTGAAGAACGACAACTCTCCCTGAGCCAATTACATTATTGCTGCAAGAACCTGTGACATTGGAGACTTTTCCTTCGTAACGACTTCACGTCACTTACTTTAACACAGTTTTTTCCCTAAATCGAGACGTATATTACACGTATATTCCTGATTAATAAGGGAAAAAAATATCTTGTTTTTTCCCTCGGAAACTCCGAAATGGCGGCAGCTGTCAGAAACGAAGAAAATAATGTCGATAGAAACGAAAGCCGCGAAAATCCACCTAAATGTTCCAAACCAGTGCCTATAAGCTCCAAGAGAGTCCCAAAATGTTCCAGATGCAAAAATCATGGAATTGACAGAGAACTGAAAAATCATAAAAAACAGGCCATTAATCATTAGAAATATATGTGCATATATGCAAGGTATATCATAACAGATAAACAACTTTGAAGATTTATTATGTTTGAACTATTTGAATTACAATAATGAAGTTTGTTGTAAAATAATCGGTAACACTTCAAGTTTTTTTCCCACAAGACTGTAGTACATACAGCTGTGGTGGTGCTAGCACAATGTTAAAGAAAATGGCAACTTTTACAGGTCCAGAAAAAGAAGGCTGTGTGTTAAAATTTCATGAAACTCTTACATTATCTTAATTTGATTATCGAACAACAATAAAACCCTCGTAAATGCAATGTGTTTTGTGTTGTTAGCTGATCTTAGATTTATGGACTGTTTTTCTTTGAAGATCCTTTAGGATTAGCTATCTCCCTAGAATTAGCTAATCCCTATAGAATTACCTATCTCAAAATATTAATTAAGGAACTTCCTCACACCCCAGCTAGATGTTTACAATGTGATATTCTAAAAAGATGAAGCTCCACCCAATTATCTCAAAGCCATTGGAGATTTCTTTGAATTAATCATTCCCATAACAATGAATTGAATACAGAGGAGTCATTGCCTGCATACTCAGATCCATAGATCATAACATCTAAACTTTTACATTTGAAGCTTTGTAAAAGAATGTCTGTGTGCTATCTATGCTGCAGAATGTGCAACAACTAAAAGAAATAATAAGAAATGCCCTTGTTTCTGTGGATGAGGACTTCTTGAGAAAAATGTGGCAGGAACTAGAATTTCAACAGGATGTGTGCCATATAAATGGCAGAAACCACATTGAAAATTTTTAAACATCTATAAAAACTTGAAGTATTACTGATTATTATACAACAAGCTCATTCTTTTATTTTAAATAGTTTAAACATAATATATCTTTAAAGTTCTTTACTGTATTATGTTGCACCCTGTATGTAAATACATAAATCATTCATTTTTTAGTTTGTAATATTTAAATAAAATTTTTTAAATTATATGTAAAATAAAAACTAAATTAACTCTGATGCATATACNTAATATAAAAAAATCATAATCCATCTTTTTATAAAAGGTTTTGTGATTATAAATCCTGTGTTTGCGAGAAATGCTGTCTAACTGTGGCCAGGCAACGACTTATGGCGAGAAAAGTAGCCTTAAGGCGCGAAGTAGCCTTAGACGAAGCCAGAGGAATTATCGCCGACGAAGATCCAGTATTTTCGACAGAATCCAATTCCACAAACGAAGAAAGTTCGGAAATCGAAACCAATTCTTCCAACGAAGGTATTTCCTTTGTTAAATTGTTGGTGTAGTTTTTCACCCTTTCGTTTACTTTAAAGGCGCTTCGAGTCGATGTTTACTTTAATTGGATGCTTTTATTAAACGATTTAAATGTAAATAAACAATATTTTTATAAGGAAATACTCTAACGAAGTGCTTGTACGTTTCAGACGAAATCGGTTCGACCAACAGAAGGCATATTCGAGAAGCCTTGCAAACACTGGTTAATGCCTTCAAACTTAACGATAAGACTATGAATTTATACGTCTACGCCATTCTTAAAGAGTGCAAATTTAACGTCAAGCTAGCTTACGATAAGCTGATTGAAGGTAAGAATTCGTATAACAGGGATTATCCGTTCTCGATTATATTAGGACTCGACAGAACACCATAGGGTATTATCGAGTTGCAGAAAGAATTTCAGTGTTATAGTATTAATATCGATCTATTTTTTTAAATTTTTGACTTCCTCTAAAGTCACAAGTCAATAACTTTTCTTTTTACACAGCTCAAACTGAGTATAAACTCTACGAAATGATGGACAGAGAAAATAGAGGAGAAGAAAGGAGAGAGGAAGAGTCAAACTATAATAATATATCCTGGTCGCCTATGTTACGTCAACGTTTCACTAATTCCTCCGTAGTCTATCCTAAAGCGTGTCGTCCATTCTTATACCCATATACCATGAATTCTAATGTTCCTAGCGTTACAGTAACCAATTCTGCTGTCCCTACTACTCAGATTTCTCCTCCCGAAGAGGATTTTCGAAACAGAGAACATTACACCAACGAAGAGAATTATACCAGAGTGAACGAATTCGAAGAGTTGCCGGTGCAAAGTGACACCAGAAATGGGATCGATTCTGTTCTAAAGCCTTTTGATCCCGTCTTGTCGTTGAGAATGCAAAGGGACGTAAGATTTCAACCGTATTCTCATGTAAACATTTAAACTATTCTCTTACGTTATTGATCGATACGGAACTTTCAAGTTGAAAAGTATCGTGTGTTTGGATAATTTCGGGATTTACAATTGACATGGCAATTCTTTATTTATTATTATTATTGTTTAAATGCCACGAAATTTCACTTGAATTTCAGCCTTAGAATGGCTTTCTACAAACTAAAAAATAAAAGTTAAAAAGTCCTTAGATGTTAATACCAACACTACTTTTAGTAATAGGAGTTAAATTCGTAAAGGATTGTCTCGAAGGTCTACGGGAAATATCACTGTATATGCTAATTGTATTGTATTTTAAAGTCAAAGATCGACTTGTTGATACAGAATGACAGTAATTAAGCGTGGAAAAGATTCTAATTGGGATGCAAATTGTATGAAAATGATAGAATCCTGTGTAAAAAAAAAACACCCGCTCTCTCTCAGCCCAAAATAAATAGCTATATTTTTAAAATTAATAAAAAAATATATATATAATCCTTCGAAACTCTATTTGTGGACGGAAAGTATAAACAATTAAATGATTATATTAAACGTTGTCGAGCCGTTCCATTTTATAAAACTATGTTAAATAATAGTAATCCTATTTATATACATCTGGCCGAAATATACGTAAGGGATGGGGAAACAATTGTAATTTAAAAGAAAATATATAATGTTAATTGATCAAAAAAAGAATTGTATAGTGTAAACCGTGTTTAATTTCGATTATTTTGTTGCCGTTTCCTAGTGGAAATCAAAACTCTACGCACTAATATAAATATTCTACTGTATAGGGCCTGTAAGAATAATTTATCACCAGCCAATTTCTTAAACAGTAATAAATAATTTGAGAATGTTTAAAATTTTCTATGATAACTTTATTTATTTACAATGCGAAAAACTCCACGTGAACAGAGGAGGTGCTCCTCTGGCCACGTGGAGCTCCTCTGACCACGTGGAGGTGCTCCTCTAGCCAACCTACTAGTGTTCAGGGAACGGAACCACTTGCCCATTGGTATAACATAAAGATACTTAGATCGTTTCCTTATCTAAAATTCGCCCTATTGGGCCTCACACATGCAATTGACACGTCGCCTGGCACATTTACCCTTTAGGATCCTAGATTTTATAATTATCTTATAACGAATTGAGGATACGAAGAGATCTATGGCCCACTGAACTACCTTCTAATACTTTTCATATAGTTTATTATGAAGAATTATTAAGGAAAACAAATCATTCAATATTGTTTATTAATGAAGGCGGATATCCTCTGATTCCGAATCCCCTGTTGCGTGTGAAATGAGCTTTAGATTTTCTACAATTATTCATACAAAGGCCTAATTGTTTAGGGCCTCGCACCATCTAATACGAATAGTAAATTATGTATCGATTATCATAACAAAAGATAATAATTAAAGGTAATAGATGTAAATGTTAATGGAAGGCAATTAAAAGTTTATAATAGTTTTCGACTGATAAAAATTGCAGCCTGGTATTGTGAAGACGTCATAATAAATAATTGTTCGTTTACTTTTTTAATTGATAAATGATATATAAATTCTATTTATTATCGTTAACCTAGTTTTGTTATTGTACTGACTTTTCAATAGTGACACCCCAAAGTTGCTGCCTCGAATGTAACATAATAATTGTTTATCTAAAGAATTCGTTTTATCGATAACACATCGTTTAACACAAGAAAACAGAAGTTTCTTTTGAAAAAAACGAAGTGACAAAACTTTATTTTTAATTGACGTGTTTATTAACTTAAATTCAAGTAACGAAACCCTTATACATTTTCAAGTAATTTTATACCTGAAATTACAGTCTTTACACTGAAATTTACAAAGGTAATTTATAATCCTCTTCTTTTTTACATTTTAAGCGGTATACAATAGCTTTTAAAGTATCAAATTTTGTGTAATCTTTACTTAAATGAATATAAAATCATTACTTTGTAGCAATTTTATTATTGTTTGTAAAGATTACTAAACCTATGACTCGGTAAAATACACATAAATATAAAATGTTAACTGCCTCTAACAATTGTTCCGTATTTTCCGTATAAAAAAAGAGAATTAAAAACATATTAACCAGGAAAATACACCAGGTATAGTGTTTTCTATGGTATAGACGAAATGACAATACGTTGTAAGATTTATTATACCTCGATTCAACCAGTTTAAAGAACGTACCGACAGACAAACGATCGATGAATTTCTACAGACACTGTTTTGAACAGAAGGATGGCTAGACCCTACTTTTAACACGTAGTGACCACGATCTACCAGTTGAGAAGCGAAACCTCTTACGTAATGTATAACAAAGGTTTAAGTGGTTAATTTCTATAAATTCGTACAGACAGACAGACGAACGAAAAGCTGATATATAGAGGAAACAACCAATGTACTTATATTATATTTTAACACTTAATAAAATTGTTTAATAGAAAAAAATAATTGATAATAATAGAGTTATATTTATTTACTTTTATTCAATAGTTTTAGAATTTTTCCTTTCAAAACAAGAAGACAATTTCTATTTTATTAAATATTAAATTTCTATTGTTAAAAGTTTCTATATATAAAAAAAGTCCATTAGGAGTAATTTAGTAAACGTATTTTATATTTTATTGTTGAATATTTTTCTAATACGGAGGTGGGTGGAAAAGAAAGCAAAACAAAAAGAAAATCGAGGAAAAATTTAATTTGATTTAATATTTTCGAAAAGAAAAACATTTTTTTCGAGTGAAATAAACTTATTTTCTAAACTTTTGCATTAAAAATTCAACTCTAAACCAAGTTAATAATGAGAAAATTAATTGTTTTTAGCTTTCTCTGAAGATGTTTTCAGGAAAAACAATTCTTTAATTCCGAACAAAACGACAAAATATTTTTAATTTGTATTTTTCTCCCCACCCCCGGTTTAGACCGGTTCCTTTCCCTCCTCTTAATCATTAAAGTTAATGAGAGATTTCCTATATTATAATACCCCATAATTTCCATGTATTTAAATATATGTCAGTTTGTCTCTTCTGTCGTTCGTTAAAGTATAAAACATTATATTTTACTATAATAAATCAAATATTTCTGTTCCTCCATTAATTAAGTTGTTAAACACGTGTACATGTAAATACAGTATGTTACAATGCAATAAACAATACGCTATATACTCGTATAGTCATCTCTTGTATCATACTTGCACGTAAAAAAAAAACTACAGACACGTGTATTTATATTGATACAAACACATCCCCCTCGTGTATTATTGTTTATAATGAAAAATAAAGTACAAGGCATTATAAAAATATAAAAACACTCGTAAGTAATCATAATCTATTAGAATATATATTAAAATATAGGTATTGATCTACGTATTAACACATATACCACTTTAGATTACAGTCTACCTGCTGCAAATTTAGCATGTGTTCATATAGAACACACACGTGGAGAGGCGAATAGAAAAGACTTATTTACATAATTTAAAATAAGGTTACACAACATTTACTGTATTTGTATTGTATACTACGAGTAAATATTTGCATTTTATTTTTAAAAGCACAAAATAATAAAATTCTTATTAATATATTGTGATTTTAAGAAGTTATTAATTGGGAAAACACCAGAAGTCGTATTATAGAATACATTTTTGGTACAATGTAATGCTTAATAATCGCCAGAACACAATTAAAAATTTTACACGGAAAGTTTATTATTATATCATATTCCGGAAGTATTATTTCAACGTGAAGAGAAAGAAAAACAATACGTCACAATTTAAACGTATTAGATTACTATGGAAGTATATATAACTGTTGGATACTTTTTCTCTATTCACGTGTATATATACAACAATTAAATATTATAGATTATTGTAAACGTGTCTAGTGGCATTTATTTTTGTACAGCGCGTATACAATCAATATATAAATATAGTATTTTATACATTAACAATTTAGACTGTAACCTGCATACGACAGTACCTCCCAGTGTATTCTGTGTATATCATTGCATATAAACGGTATAAATGACTCTAGGAAGGCCGTAGTAAAGTTTATTTTCAAGGCCCATTAAAAACAGCGCGTGCGAGTACGGGATAGATTTATTTATTGTTAACATAGAAATAGAAGGTAAAACACAAATTTATTTCCAATAAATTAACTAATGTGGTAAAGCGCAAGGACGTTTTTGAGGCCCTGTATGTAGGGCCGTCCTGTTTATACGTATGCGTAATACAATCGATAATTTATCATGTTTTTTCTTGTTTATAAGCTGACAATTGAAGTATCGTATATCATACATAAAGTCTATTCTTCCTTCTATTGTCCTTCGGCGACTTGTACGAATGTGGTACAGTACGTCACGGATGACATACGTACCTCTTTCGTAAAAAAACGTTGAACACATCATTACCTGTGACGTGTTCAACGTTAACGTTAAACCAAATATAACTTTATATAATATATACAGTGTCTTAAGTGTAGATCGACGTGTTTATTTATTGTTTAAGGTTGTTTTAATAGAAAGTAATACACTTTAAAAGTCGACCCCCCTATAACACTGTTGATAATTCCGTTTTATATGAATTCCATGTTGTACGAGTCACTTAGATTTTACAAATACGTATGCCAGGCTGTGAACTCGCATCAATATAAAATTAATTAGACATTTTAGGGATGTTTTAAGGCAAATAGCGACTGTTTATGAATAAATGTTCCTTTATTTCTCATACTAATTAAGTATATTTTTTCAATATTTATATTTTTAAAGATGTAAGATTGATAGAGAAAGTCATAAATAACTCTTATTTACAACTTATATCAAGTAATAAACACACAAAAAATGAAAATAAAACACGTGTTTTTTTGCTGCCAACTCAAAAACAAGGTTAAAGTTTTAATAAGTTTTGTAAATTTCTAATTACTTTAGAGTAATTCAAAATATCGATTTAAAAAATTAAAATATTTTAAAAATAAACAGTAAAAATCTTTTTTCTAGTATTAGTTTAGAAGAGTGAAAAATTGTAGCTTGATGATGATGATGATGATGAACAAACGTAAGTTAGCAGGAAGCCAAGTGTTTTCCTCCCTGGACAACGAATAACCGAACATAATTTAGAAGATTTTATTTAAAACCTATATATTATTATGTTTATTTGATAGAGGAAAGATTATTTTGGTCATTTTCGATGTTAATTTTACTGTAGAAACGTGTTTAAGAGCCGAGACGTGTCTGCGCGTTATACACGGTTATCCAACAAACACTCGCTTATTTATATCACTCGATAGAAATTTAAAATTATAATTTACACTTTAATTTTAACTAATTCACTTTCATAAATCTATAACAGTTAAATCTTATCAATTAATTTTTAATTGGATTTTTTGTGCGGAAACGTGTCTCCATTTCCGATACGTTTAGTAGAATAGATTACTTTTGCATGAATTTAATAAGTAAAGCTTATTATTTATTGATATAATTTTAATAAATCGAATATATTAATAAATATTAATTTAGCATTAACCAGTTCAGCCATTGGCACCCATTAAAACTCAAAATACGGTCAGGCACCCCTTGAAAATTGT